CAGTGCTTCCCCTGCTTCCGCTTCGCCCTGTGGTCGGTCAGCCTCGGCCGCTTCCGCCAGGAGCGCAGGCTCCGACGGCTCCGCCCAGGCCACCTTCCTTCTGGCGTGAGCCCTTCTCCGAAGCTCTGTCACCGCGCGAGCAACGAGTCGGCAGAAACCCGGTGGGCATGGAGCAGCCCGAGAAGTTTGTGCGCCTCCCTCGAGCACGGCATGACGGTGTCCCCCCATGCGCACACTTGGGCGTCGAGGGCCGTGAGCAACCAGGGATGATTAGTAAGAGTTCCCGTCGGTCTCGTGTTAACCCCTCCAGCGTCGACCTGCATCCCGCAGCGGCACATGTCCACCCTTAGTCGATGGACGCAGGGGAGGGGTGCGCCAATACCCGCGACGTTAGAGGTCCAAGAGTTGGCATACACCGGGTGCTCGAAAGCAAAGAAGCGACCGCGATCATGCTGATTACCAGACATCTCCAAGCAGAGCGTGAGTTCTCGGAGGCCCTCGCGAACCTCCCGCTTCCACTGAAGGGGGTCCAGGCGATATTTGTTCACTCGATGGAGCGTTGAGAAGGCTCTGCATTCACACAGCCAGATAGTCCCACTATCCTCGTGACCCGTCGGTCGTTGGAAGTAGGTAATGATTCTTGGTATCCCAGGTTCCAGTCTACTTTAGGCGCATTCCTACTTCAAGGGTCGAGTGGCTTTTTTTTCCTTGGTCTCCTGGCGTAGGCCAAATCTACTCCCAACGCCTTCGTGCTTCATGGTTCTGTCCATTTCTCTCGACCGGTGTGCAATCTGATCCTGCAGCTCCTTGACGTGGTGGGCCCTAGACGAACCCCACCCGAGAACCCGGTCCATGTACTCGCTTCGGCCCCGAAGGACCCTCCGCGTCGTTGCACCGCGGGCCCGACGCGGGGCGGCGAGCGCCTGGGCTCTCTTGCCGGGCCTCTCGAGGTGAGTCTCGGGGCGCCGAAGAAGCCGGCGAAGAACAGGCATCGCTTCTCGAGAGCACGGCACCTCGATGGGAAGACGAGCGATCATCACTCGACGAGGTCCTTGTCCTTGGGGTCCAGATGCTCGCGCTCTCTTCGGGGAAGTTGGCCAGAGGACCCAGTCTTAGTGGCCCACCTTGCACGGCCCCCAGAACGCGAGGAAAGCAGGCCAATTGCTTGTTCTTTGTCTTGTACGAGAACCTTCAGGACTTTTTGCAGAGGATGCGGTCCTTCATTTAGGTCATGAAACCGTATACAGTTGAGACGGGGGACAATGCGCTCTTTTGGTGCCGAGAGCTATGTGCACTGGTTGTAACTTTTCGATTCGTTTCTGATTGAAACCGGAAATGCAGACGTGACTGATCTGAAAGTCGTTTGGGCTGCATGGGCCGAAGACAGAAATCTGAGGTTCAATTGCAGTATGATCGCGCACCTTGCCAAGATGAACTCGCCTCCTCTATTGTTAGGAATCACAGAGGGGAGATGGTCAGCTCGGACGTTTGACGAGATCCGAGTGATGCATGGAATCGATGGAGCCATCAAGCAATCAGGCAAACATGTGCCTCAAAGTATCAGCACATCGTGCCTTAAAGAGGGAGAAGACATTGCATGTTTTCCGCGATCCTCGATGCTCGATCCCGGAACCACGCGATCCTCGATCACCGCGATCCTCGCGATCCCCGCGACCCTCGATCACCGCGATCCCCGAACCTCGATCCCCGCGATCCCAGCGATACCCGTTCTCCGCCCATCCTCAGTCCTCGATTCTCACGATCTTCGATCCTGGATCCTCGGACTCAGCCATTCTCGCGATCCTGGGCCCGCGACACCGAGTTTCAGCACCCTCGTCAGCGACCCGTCTGAGAAGTGGCGCCACTGGAACCTGACTGACGAGGACGTGAGGCGGCTGACCGCTGTGCTCCAGGCTAGCGGCTCCTGCTCCTTTTCCTCTCGGCTCTGGATCGGGAAGATGCTGATGATGATGGTGATGCTGATGAGGAGGATGAGGATGAGGATGAGGATGATGATGCTGATGATGATGACGATGACGATGACGATGATAATGATTATGCTGATGACGATGACAATGATGATGATGATGATGATGATGATGATGATGATGATGATGATGATGATGCTGATGCTGCTGATGATGATGATGATGATGATAATAATGACGATGATGATGATTACGATGATGACGCTGGTGATGATGATGCTGATGCTGACCATGATGCGTCTGCTGATGATGATGATGATGCTGATGATGACTATGCTGCTGATGCTGATGTTGATGATGCTGCTGATGATGATGGGGAGGCGGCTGAGGATGATGATGATTTTGCTGATGATGATGATGATGATGATGATGATGATGATGATGATGATGATGATGATGGTGATGGTGATGACGTTGATGGTGATCGTGATGGTGATGGTGATGGTGAGAACACGGGTGATGATGGTGCTGATGTATGGTGACAATGTACTTGGCGACGACGCAACATGTTTTGATGTTGATGATCATGATCATGCTCATGATCGTGCTTACTATGGTACTTGCGACGATGACGGTTGCGATGGTAAGAGTGCTTATGGTAATTAGATTGTTCATGTTAATGATGAGGATGAAGACGGTGATGATGATGGTCACTATGATGATGTTGCTGATTATTATGATGATGCTGCTGATGATGCTGCTGATGATGATGATGATGATGTTGCTACTGCTGGGGATGATGAACATGCCGTTTATGACGTCAATGAAGACGAATATGGATATGGCGACCTTGATAGTGACAACGATGTTGAAGGTGATGATGGCGATGGCAATACGATGACGAGGCTGATGATATTGATGATGGCGTTGACGATCGTGACGATGATGGTGGCGATGATGTTGGTGACCATGTCTACGGTGTTGACATTCATGATTAATCAATATTCCGCCGTGTGTTGGTGCTGCCGTCGTCTGGGAGCGGAGTGAGTAGTGTGTAGTGTGCCGTATGAGAGAGAGAGTCCAGCTGCAGCTGTTGTCGTAACAGTGCGTGCGGCGGTTTGTGTAATGGACCGTGCAGAGGATGGAGATCGGTAGTGGGACAGCTGGTAGCCCTGACGCGCTTTATCAAACACGGTTAAGAATTTGCGGTCGTTGGCAGCGATCTTGGTGTAACAAAATTGATGCACTGATGGTCCTCCGTGCGGCAGGTCCCGTTTCTGCATGAGGGTGGCGTTTGCATCTTAGCCATTGTTGGCCAGGAGACAGAGATATGAGGGTGCGCTCCAAACTGAGGGTAGAGCCACGTGGGGTGGGCGTCGTGTTGTCGTCGATCACGCCGTCGGCATGGTCTTTGTGGGGTTGTCCGCTTCGCATGCTGTTCCCGTGGGCTTGAGTCTGGTACGGCTGCTGATTGTGCTGGTCGTTGGGTCAGAGGCTGTCTTTGTGTTGTCTTAGCCAGGGTAGTATTTGTCCTCGCTCTTGACCTTGATGGCATTCGGGCCCGAGTGGAATAACGGAAAGAGCGAGGTACGAGTGATGACGTTCTGGTGTGGGCGAAGCCCTAAAGGGAGGGGTTCCAGGGGAGGGGGGTAGCGTGCACATTTGTTTGTTAATGGCCGTTTTCGGGTTTTCCCTCGGGTTTTTGCATCGGGTTCCCCCCCAAGACGGCCCAAGAGCGCTCCAAGAGAGCCCAAGACCGCCCAAGACGGCCCAAGAGGCCCCCAAGAGGCCCCCAAGAGGCGCCCAAGGGGCGTCCCAAGAGGGCCCCAAGAGGCCGAAATCATCGATTTTCCAAATGGAAGCGTATATTTTTAGCATATGCGCTTTGTCGGCTTTCACGGCGTTGACGACGGCCCAAGAGGCCCCCAAGACCGCCCCAAGACGGCCCAAGAGGCTCCCAAGAGGCGCCCAAAACGGCCCAAGAGGGCCCCAAGACGGCCCAAGAGGCGCTCAAGACGGCCCAAGAGGGCGCCAAGACGGCCCCAAGCGGGGGACCACGAACCGAAAAGTCTAGCCTTTCGCCCCAAGACGCTCCCAGGAGGCCCCCAGAGCCCCCCAAGAAGCCCCAAGAGGCCCCCAAGAGGCGTCCCAAGAGGCCACCAGGAGGCGAAAATCATTGATTTCCTATGGGAAAACGTACATTTTTAGCATACAAGGCTTTTCGGCTGAGGCGCCCAAGACGGCCCCAAGAGGGGACCACGAACCGAAAAATCTAGCCTTTCGCCCCAAGAAGCTCCCAGGAGGCCCCCAGAGCCCCCCAAGAAGCCCCAAGAGGCCGCCAAGAGGTTCCTAAGAGGCCTCCAAAAGGGCCCGACAAGGGCCCCAATAGGACTCCCAAGAAGGCCCAGAGACGCCAAATAGAGAGCGGTCGGTAACGCAAAAAGCTCTTCACACCAAGGCTCCCAAGAGCGAACGGTGACGTAAACAAGCTGATAAGACCAAGGCTCCCAGCAGAGAGCGGTGACGTAACAAGTTCCTGACACCAAGGCCCAGCCAAGGCTCAGGAACGGGCGGCAACGCAACAATCTCTGAACACCAAGGCTCCCAAGAGCGAGGGGTGACGTAACAAGCTCTCAACGCCAAGGCTCCCAGTACGAACGGTGGTGTGAGTAATTTCGGTTTCTGTTTCTGGAGCGCTCTTTCCGTTTCTGTGCCGGGCCAGGTACCTACATGGTATGGGGAAGGCCTAACGGCCCGTGCCGCCGACCCTCAAGGAGGACTGCGACGGCGGCGGCGGCAGCGGCGGCGGCGGCGGCGGCGGCGGCGGCGGCAGCGGCGGCGAGGGGCTCTCTCGGGAGCCTCTTGGGCTCTGCCGGGGCTTGGGCTGGGGCCGCGGCTGTGGCCCAGGGCCGGTGCCAGGGCTGCGGGCCGGGGCGCCGAGGCCGAGGCTGGGGCCACGGCCAGGGCGGGGGCCGGGACCCGGGCTGCGGCCGCCCGGGCTAGGGCCGCCGTGTCGGGGTCCGGGCCCAGGGCCGGAGCGGGGTGCGGGGCCGGACTGGAGCGGGGGCCTGGGCGAGGGGGGGAAGCCTATATGGGTGGAGACCCCCACCCCGGGACCCCCCCGGGAACCCTTCCCCCCCCCCGACGCGGGGGAGGGATCAACGGGAAGGGGCTTCCCTTCGATTCCATTCCGATGCTGTTCAATTTTGCTCTGGACAGCGCGTATGAGGAAGAGGGCCCGGGCAAATGGAACAGAGGAGGACGGAGACGACGACTCCAACGGAAAAGCCCGACTCCCTTCACAAGCGCCGAAAGGGTCGGCGGATCTCGCGTCGTTTGGGTAGACTTCGCTGCTGGTCGTATTTTGGTCGGGTATCATGATCCTCTTTGCTGGTGGTCTTGGTGGTGGCATGCCCTCCAGCGGGGAAGTAAGGAACGTGCTCTGAGCCAGTAGAAGCTTCTGCGTGTGCGGTCGGCAGATTGTCTGTACCGCTGTAGGTGGCTGGCTAGGGAGAGGGTCCCTACTGGTGGCTGCTCTCTTGGCTCTGCGTCGGGTGGCTGTTGTCGTGACCCTCTGGGCCTCTCGCGGGGCCCTGGTGGCTTGTGCCTGGCGCAGGGCCTGGTGGTGGGTCACGGTGGTCAGGTTCTTTTGTTGTCAGTCGGTTCTCCCACAGGGGTTGGGATGCAGCATGGTCATCCAGTAGGTCCATGGCGATGCCCTCCTGACAGGAAGACGCTGTAAATGGCGTTGGTGAGCCTGTCGGGCTGTAGCGCTGCGGTTGCATGACGTAGCTGCAGACTGCGTCACATTCCTTTCGTACTCGGTGCGGTGCAGGCGTGCCAGTGCGGTCCTCAGCCACTGGGTATGCCGGGATGCTGCACAGCTGGCGAATCATGAAGCGCACTGACACCATCTGGTTGCTCGTCATTGTGAAGGGCGCGACGTGGCAGCCGACTGGTTCTCCGAATTTTTGCCGAGGCGTCGTGGAAGTAGTGCAGGACCCGGTCGTGCCCGACGCGGTCGATACGATGTGGGTCAGATTCAGGTTGTAGAGCGCCCCTGGTGTGTTGATGTGTTCGATGCAGTCCTGTGACGATCTTGTAGGCGTGTATCTTGTAGTGCGGCGTGCTCGGGTCGTAGTGGATGCTGCTGGTGATGTTGACGAGCCTGCCGATTGCGTCGTGCCGGATGTCGGACGCGGATGGGCATGTCATTGTAGGTAGCCCTTGCGAGGTGGTCGTTGTAATCCCGTTTTACCTTGCGTTGCTTCTTCTTGGCGGGGGCGCCCCCTTCAGGTTTGGGCGGTTGCTTCAGCTTGCCCTTGCACTACTCCTCTTTCTGTTTGCTCTTCTGCGGGGTGTCGTCGTCCTCGTTGTAGTCGTCGTATGGCTTGGGGAAGCTTCCCTTGCCCTTGCCCCTGCTGCCCTTGCCCTTGCCGTTGGTGCCCTTGCTCCAGCAGGCGTGGGGTTGCTGGGCTGCCCATTGAGCCGCCCATTGGTCGTTCCCCAACCTGTACAAACCTGCCGATCGCTGGTGTAGTGGGTCGTGTAGGTGAGCCCCTGGTCGTAGGACGGCTCGTCGTTGATCTCCATGGCGCCGCCATTGTGGGATCTTGTGGTGGATGTCGTGGCGTCTACCGTACGATGTGGTGTGCTTGTAGTAGTGGTCGTGCTTCGTGCAGGCGCACTCGATATCGACCGTCAGCTCGCTGGCGACGAAACCACCTGTGCGAGGCGGGTGATCTGGATCTGGCTCTTGTCGTGGATGTCGGCGTGGCAACACGCCGGAGACGAGAGAACCATATCATACTGCAAATCTTGATGTCTATTGTGGGCCTGACCTGGCCAAGCCGGCCGCCGCCTCGGCCCCCCCCGTTGGGCAAAAGGGGCGGAATCGGGCGATCGCGGCTCTGCTCCTCTTCCTCCTGCTCCTGCTATTGGGAAGGCCTAGCGGCCAGTGCCGCCGACCCTGACAGGGGACGGCGACGACGACGGCGGCGGCGGCAACGAAGACGACGACGCTGACGCTCTGGAGCCTTTCTTGGGGCTCTCCTGGGAGCCTCTTGGGCTCTGCTGGGGCTTGGGCTGGGGCCGCGGCTGGGGCCAGGGCTGGGGCCGAGGCCGAGGCTGGGGCCACGGCCGGGGCTGGGGCCGGGGGTCGGGGGCTATGGCTGGGGCCGGGGCGCCGGGGCGGGGATCCGGGTTGCGGCCCCTGGGCTGGGCTGGGCCGTGTCCGGGTCCGAGGCTGGGACCAGGGCCGGGGACGGGGCCGGGGCCGGAGCGTCGGGCAATCGCGGCTCTGCTCCTCTTTCTCCTGCTCCTGCTTATTCATCCTCCTCCTCCTCCTCCTCCTCCTCCTCCTCCTCTTCCTCCTCCTCCTCCTCCTCGATACTCGATACTCGATCCTGGATGCCTGCGTGGCGGACCCAAGTAGCAGGACCATGAGGGGGTCCTGCGACAGCTCGCCATCTTCGTACCGCACCAGCTTCCAGTGACATGTGGGCTCCCCCGTCGAGTAGAAAGTAAAAGCAGTCGGGGCCTCGATCCTCAATCCTCGCCTCTCCTCCCCACGCCAGATGCCGACCCGCGAGCACTTCACGGTGAGCTTCCCGAAGAAGCACGACCAGATTCTCGGCCTCGTGCTCAACCCCAAGAAGCCGACCGCCGAGGCCCCTCAAGAGGAGGAGAGATGGCGAAGGAGGAGGTAACGAGGAGCCTGGGAGCGCGAGGGGGATCCACAAGCGAGGGAGGGCGGGGAGGAGGACAAGGAGGAGGAGGAGGAGGAGGAGGAGGAGGAGGAGGAGGAGGAGGAGGAGGAGGAGGGGGAGGAGGAGGAGGAGGAGGAGGAGGAGGGGGAGGAGGAGGGGGAGGAGGGGGAGGAAGGCCCGCGAATGGGCCCGACGACCACCTCCGCCCAGATCTCCCACGATGGTTCGCTGATTTCGCCCCCCATAGGAGCCCGCTTCGGGCCCTGCAGGGCCATCTCAAGCGCGGGGCCCCGGAGGAGCTCCCTCCGGGGACGGGTCGTCCCGACTGCCGCAGGCCCGCTTCGAGGAGGAGGGGAGGGCGAAGGAGGAGGACGGGGAGGAGGCCTTCTGGGGTTAAGTCGGGACTGTCCCTCCACAGGGGGAATATTCAAAGATAGGAAAAATAGTCAGGGGACGATTTTTTAAAAACTAGTTTTGACCATTTGGGGCATTTTTCTGTTATTTTTTAAATATTTCGCCCAAAATCGGCCTGTAGGGGGACAAGCCCGACTTAATTCTAGGGCCCCCTCGTCGCCGCGGCCAGGTCAGGAAGCACCCGGGGAACGGCCAGGGACTGCGGCAGTTTTGAGCGCCGCGTCGATGCGGCGGCGACCCCGGCGCGGGCGCTCGAGGCGGAAAACGCCGCCAGTGGCCCGGAAAATCGGCCCAGGTCTAACGATCTGTTGTATCGAGGAGGAGGAGGAGGAGGAGGAGGAGGAGGAGGAGGAGGAGGAGGAGGAGGAGGACGACGAGGACGAGGACGAGGACGAGGAGGAGGAGGAGGACGAGGAGGAGGAGGATAACAAAAGACACATAAGCATCGTTTCTGGGAACTCCGCGCGGCTTTCTTGGATCGGCGCCGGGCCCCCCCTGGCGGCGCCTCCAGTGCCGGCCCATGGCGCGCTCCGCGCGCCAGGGAGGGGTGCTCAGCGATGATCCAAGACATATGCGCTGACCTCCGAGAAATTATGTTTATGCCGCTGTATGTTCCTTTGGAGGGGAAGCAGGATGATGAGGAGGAGGAGGAGGAGAAGGAGGAGGAGGATGAGAAGGAGGATCGAGGCTCGAGGCTCGAGGGGGGACGTCGGCATCGCCCGAAAGCGGCATCGGCCACGCAAAGGTGTCGCGCACGCTCGGAATCCTTGTAATAGAAGTTCCGTAGCGGACGCTTTCTAGCCATGCCGTTCGGAAAACAATCAATTGCAGAATTCTGTAAGATATGTTCGGATACGGCGTACGTCTCCAACAGAGGCACACAGTATTGGTTTTCTCTTATGCGCCCCAGGCATTCCTTCTCCTCCGGGTCCTTGTCCGCCCCTCTATTCCTCCTCGTCCTTCTCCTCCGCTTCCTCCTCCTCCTCCTCCTCTACCACCTTTTCCTCCATCTCACAAGGTGGCGAGCCCGACAACAACGACGACGACGGTGGCGGCGACGACGACGATCACGATCCGAACCTCGCAGACGCGCGAGCTGCAAGTCATGGCGGTCCTGAGCGGCAGCCTGAGCAGTGACCACAACAAGGGCCAGGCCCAGGAGAGCGAAGGAGGAGTGAGGCTCTGAGGCCTGGTGCTCCAGGCCAAGGAGAGCAGCGAGGGAGGAGGACGAGCAGGAGGAGGGAGCAGGGTGGAGGTTGGGAGGAGGAGGAGGAGGAGGAGGAGGAGGAGGAGGAGGAGGAAGAGGACGAGGAGGAGGAGGAGGAAGCAGGATGATGGAGGAGGTGCCGGGTGGAGATTGAGAAGAGGAAGAGCCAAACTTAGGGAGCTGGGGAGGGGTGGAGACGAGGAGGAGGAAGAGGAGCCCGCGAGGAGGCGAGGAGTAGGGAGGAGCTCCCTTCCCGCTGGCTCGCTCCTTCATCGCTGCCTCCTTCTCCCTCCTCCCTCTTCCTCCATCCCTCACCTCCCTCATTCTCCTCCTCCTCGTCGTCCTCATCATCCCTGCTCGTTTGTCGCCCAGGTTTAGGTCATCCTGGGAAAAAAAAACCCTCACTCCTCCTCCTCCTCTTCCTCCTCTTCCTCCGTCCCTCCCTCCCTCCCTCCCTCCCTCCCTCCCTCCCTCCCTCCCTCCATCCATCCATCCATCCCTCCTCCTCCTCCTCCTCCTCCTCCTCCTCCTTTCCCTTTCCTTATACATAACTTCTGCCTGTCGCACCCCGAGGCTAGTTTTTAGAGCGGGCCAGGCGTTTCGCCTAATTAAGACTTCCTCTCCACTCTTCATTGTGAAACTCACAAAGTGACAACAGCTTCGCAGATGGAGGGCGGGTGGTTTTCAAAATGTGGCTCTCGCCTTAGCTCCGCGCACATTCGTTGTAAACATTTGCAAAAGTTTCACGGATTGAGGGCGGGTCGTTTTCAAAATGTTCGGTCAGGGTTCATCGGTTCGCAATTGTCCAATTCCAGTCCATTCTTCCCATGCCTAGGTTTTGTGCTCGTGTTGTAGTGATGTCACCTGTCGTCCCTCATGGCGCCGTCGATCAATCCTATTTTTCCTTTCTCCTTGGTCGTCGACCTGTAGGACATCTTCGGAAGAACATCCTCCCTCTTCCGAGCGAGCGGCTGCAGTGGGGGACTCGCCCAGAGGAGCGAGGGAGGGATGAACGAGGCTCGAGAGGACTGGGTTTTCTCAACGTGGGCCGGCTTGAGGCCTTGCTGGTCCATTGTTCGACTACACGTAAGAGTGACCTTTCGCCGGAGTGACCTTTGGTGCGGGCCCAACGGGGCCCCCCGATCGCCGGACGCGATGCGGTAGGTGCGTCTCGTGCGCTCGTTTTTGGCCCCCCCCCGCGGCCCCCAAAAAGCCGCGCACCAAAGGTCACTCTTGCCCAGGGTCACTCTTGCGTGTAGTCGAACTGTGGGCGATACAAATGACATGTTGGGGCTTCCGGATGCCGCCTTGGCGCCATGCTCGGCAGCATTGGAGCTACATTGTGGCCTCTGGGCCTTTGGGGGCCGCGCGGGAGCCACCTTACAGTCGGGTCCCTGAAGAAGGAACCCTTTTCGTTGGGGAGGGGGTCCGTGTTCCTTAATTGTTTCACAGCTTGACTCAGGTTTTCCTTATGTTTTCGATGGGAAATCGAAGTTCAACTTATGGTAAAAAGGGGACTCGTTCCTTATTCAGGGTTCCGTAGGTCAACGCTCCGACTGTAGAACGTCCTGGGAGCAGGACAGGCGACGATCAGAACACAACGAGCAAATCCATGCCTCTCATTGTTTGTGCGCCTTGACGAGGCGTCGCGTGAACCTTTTGGCAGGCCCTGGGGCCTCTCTCAGAGCGTCCCAGGGCCGCCCTGAAGCCATCTTTGGACCTCTTGGACTCTTCAAAGAAGACTGTCTTGTTGTGGGTGTCGCCGTATTAGTGCGGTGGGCTGGCTAGGAACGGCAAGTCGTGGCCGCCAGTGGCATGTAGTGATTTGAAGTAATGTCCGATTGGGAGTATAAAGCAGGTGTAGTTGTAGTTGTTGTTGGTATTATCTTCCATGCGGCGTGCCGATCGGTTGGAGTCGGTGGAGGTTGTCGGGTCAGGTGCGGGAAGTCGTTGCGCCCGTGGCTCGATGTGTTGGATTGTCGGTCTGGGGACCAGTGCTTTTTGTTGCTTGGTGTGGTGTTTCTGTATCTGGTGCCAATGAGCCAGGATGTTTAAGTCTGATGCGGCCTGAGCATAGTTGGCGCCATGTCTTCTCCCAGACGTGGTATTGGTGATCTGTTTGTCGGTCGACCTTTATGGTCCGATGCATACGGGTGCAGAGTGGATGGTCATCTGGTATGCCGGTGCGTTCCATGGAGGTTGTTGTATTCGGTATTGGAATTCGGGTCCTTTGGGATGTTGGATCTGTGGGACTGGCGTGGGTGTCATGTGATTCGGATGTAGTGTCGTCGGTTGTGCGAGATAGGTCGGTTAGATCATCGGCATGCGTTCTGGTCCTAGTGACCAAATGGTGGTAGGCCACGCTGGGTTTGCTGGGGTGGGTACTGCTAGAACGTATTGGGTTGGTGGCTGTGTGTCGGGGATGATTGTGGAGTGTGTTCAGCGTGCTGTACCGGCCCGTCGACCGAGTCGATTGATGATGTGTTCTGGTGTTGTGTCGAATGTTACCATGCCTGGGTAGTGGTGCGTCGTCTGTGTGGTGATTTGTCGGTGGGCACGGTCGATTACGAGTGTTGCCGATGGTTGGTGTAACGTTGCAGCCAATGATGTGTGTATCATGTTTGCAAGCAGGTTGGTGAGTTAAAGTAGCTCGGCGCTCGCGTCGATGTTGCAGGTGCATGTGTCCACGGTTGAGATGAAGCTGTTTTAGCGCGTGCGCGTTTGTTGTTTGTACGGTTTGTGTATCGTGTGGGTGCTGTCTTTCGAGTGTGATGCAATATGTTTGGTAGATATTGGAGTCGTACTTTGTTTTGTTGTGCCAGTCGTCCTCCTCATGTTCATCACGTCCTCTTTCGTTACCTCTTACCCTCCGCTCCTCGCTCCTCGTTCGTTCCACCTACCCTTCCCTCCTTCGGACCCCGAGGAGCACCTTCGCATCCAGAGGAGCGACCACATCGTCATGGTGAATGGGCTCATGGCGCGACCTCCCCCCCCTTCCGAGCAGGAGGAGGAGGAGGAGGAGGAGGAGTAGGAGGAGGAGGAGGGGCACCCGCAGCAGACCAGACCTTCGTCGTCGTCGGTCGTCGCCTGTTGATCCTCTGTCGCCGTCGATCGGCGTCATAAGGTCGGCGTCGTCGGTCGTCGATCAACGACCGTCGATCATCGTCGATCGTCGGTCATCGATCTTCGCCGTCGACCGTCGCCCTCTTTGATCCTCCGCAACCGTCGTCGATCGTTGCCGTCGACCCCTCCAGGAGGAGGGGCAGCGGCAGCAGACCAGACCTCCGACGTTACCAGAGTCGTCGTCCTGCCCAGATGCCATAGTCGTCGTCCAGCCCAGTCCGGCCAAACCCACTCAGGCTACATCCCCCGCAGCCCCCCTCCTGGGGTCTGCCCCAGGGCCGGTTTGCTCGAGTCGGCGTCAAGACCGTGGTAGATCCGGAATCGCCCAAAGGCCCCCGAATCGAGGACGCCGTCGTCCGCCGTCGTCGTCACCGCCTCCGTCTCCATCATCGCCGATCGCCGTCATCGATCGTCGATCGTCATCGATGTTTCATCGTCTGTCATCGATCCTTGACGTCCGTTGTTGGTCGTCGAGTTTTGCTTTCGAGCGACGTCGCAGTAGATCTCTGCCGTCGACCGGCGTCGTCGCAGCTGTTCGGAGCTCTTTGTAAGGGTCAAGTACAGGGAAGTGCAGCCCTGATCGATTCCTTCCTCAAATGCGTTTGCCGACGGGCTTCTCCAGCAGTGCTGCTCATTAGTTCTTCTCAGAGGGGCAACACATCACGATAGTGATTTGCTCCGGCGCTTCGGTACCTAACTGTTGCCCCGCGCGGGCTCAATAGAAAAGAGCCGCCAGATACCCCGGAACTCAAAGAAAGTACCCTGGGCCCTGCGCACTATGACACCACTCTCGTCGTGCCTCCTGCCCTCTGGCTGCCAGCGAGGCGCAGAAGTCTTGCGCGCCCGATAGTTCCCGAGAGGCCGGTGGATTCCCCGACTCGCCGAGCCAGCAAGGGCGGGGTTTCGACGTGGCGCGAGAGCAGCATCGGCAATGAGTAGGAAAACGAAGAGGAGAACGACGACACGAGCCTCGACGGCGAGGATGGCCACCACGACCACCACGACCACGACCACAACAACCAGCACGACCACCACGACCACCACGGCCAGCAATAACACGACGACCACAACTATCACGACGATCGCGACGACCACCACGACGGTTACGACGACGACGACGTCGACGACGACAGCTACGACCACGACGACCGCGACGACAACGACGACGACGACGACCACGGCGACCATGATGACCACGACGACCACGACGACGCCGCCGCCGTCGACGACGACGACGTTGCCGACGACGACGGCTACGACCACGGCGATCGCGACGAGGACGACTTACGACGACGACGACGACAGCGACGACGACGACGATGACGACGCTGACGATGACGACGATGACGACGACGACTGCTACGACCACGACGATCCAGACGAAGACGATGACGATGACGACGACGACAACCACGGCGACGACGACGTCGACAACGACAACGACGTCGACGACGAGGACCATGTCGCCGACGACGACGACGCCGGCGACGACGGCCACGACGACGACGGCTACGACCACGACGACTGCGACCAGCACCACGGCGGCGACGACGATCACGGCCGCGACCACGACCAGGGGCCGCCAGAAGTCCCCGCAGGCCAGAAACGCCGAGACTCCAGCCTCGGCCTTTGAATCTCGACGCCGAGCCCAAACCGCGCAGAAACGCCGAGACTCCAGCCTCGGCCTGTGCATCTCGACGGCGACGACCACGACGGCGAGAGAAGTCTTCCGACAAACCGCCCGAGGCCCATGCTTGGCCCGGAGCAGGCCCCCAAGCGGACGATCGTCACGATTGATCTCTTCGACGACCACGAGCGACCACGACGAGCGACGACGACCACGACGACGACGACGACGACGGCGGCGACGGCGACGGCGGCGGCGACGAGGACGAGGACGCCTGCTGGGCGGCGACGACGACCACGAAGCGCGAACACCGACCTCGAGCGGCGCCGTCGACGGGGGGTCCTCGGCACGCCGCGCCGCGGGTTGGAGCGCCTTCGGCGCGCGCTGGCTGTCCGCGACGAAGCTCAGCTCGGGGACGTCTCGGCGGGGGCGGTGCCCCCCCCCCCCCCCACCCCCCCAAATGGAGGAGGAGGAGGAGGAGGAGGAGGAGGAGGAGGAGGATGAGGAGGGGGATGAGGAGGAGGAGGAGGAGGAGGAGGAGGAGGAGTGGAAACCCAAGCCAAGAAACACGCTGCTCGCCTCCAGGGTGCCCTGGGTTTCTTGGGCGTTGATGGTCTTGCTATGGAGCACGTGGCGTTCCCGCACCACGAATGAATGCACCTCCTGAGACTCCAGGGCTGGCTTTCTTGTGGGAGGTTTCTTGTGGTCGAGCTCCTACTGCAGTACAGAACGGAGGGCACGCGGACCTCTGGCCATCCAGCGGCCCCCCCTTTGGCCGAGACGAGGCCGCCCGTGGACGAGGAGAGGACGACGACGGCGGCCACGGAGAGAGGGCGACCACGTCCTCCTCCCGCCACGGCAGCGCCTCGAGGCGACCCCAGCTCCGCTCCCGCGCTCGCGCGCGCCCAAGGTGGGGGGCGCGGCGAGCGCGGCGGCGGTGCCCCGGGACGACGACGACGACGTCGCCGTCCACGACGACGACGACGACGACGATCGACGACGACGATCGATGATCGACGATCGACGATCGACGACGACGACGACGACGATCGACGATCGACGACGAAGACGATCGACGATCGACGATCGACGATCGACGACGACGACGATCGACGATTGACGACGACGACGATCGACGATGGACGATCGATGGCGGGCGGCGGAGGGCCGGCCGGCCGAGGGGAGCGCCCTGGAGCTGCAGAGGGAGCTCATGGGCTCGGATGACCTCGAGGCCCCGTTGCCGCAGGGCGGAGAGGACGAGGAGGGCGAGGACGAGGGCGGCGAGGAGGGCGAGGACGAGGAGGGCGGGGAGGAGGAGGACGAGGACGGGGAGGACGAGGCGGACGAGGACGAGGACGAGGATGAGGATGACGAGGAGGTCGAGGGGGACCAAGACGAGGACGAGGACGAGGAGGACGAGGGGGACGAGGGGGACGAGGAGGACCAGCGACGACGAAGAGGTCGAGGAGGGCAAGGACGACGGCGAGGACGACTACGAAGAGGACGAGGAGGCGTGACGCCAATGTCGAGGAGGAGGCGAAGGGTGAGAAGGGCGCCGACGTCGGCGCCGACGCAGGCGCCTGCCTTCCACGCCGAGGGCCGACTCTCGGAGAGGGGGTGGAGAGAGGGCTCCTCCTGGTTCCTGGCTCCCGGTGGCCCGAGAGTTCGTCGACTGCAGCCCTCCAGGCCTCCTCCCGCTGCTCCTCCTCGACGCCACAGACTACAGCCGCCCGATTACGGCCAGGAATTGTTGGCCCCGCCGTGCCAGCTGCTGCCGGCGGGCCCTCGCCATCCCCAGCAATCGGTCCCAGGTGACACGCCGGTGCCGGATGTCGCGGCACGTTTTACCCACGGCGTCAAAGAGCACGGCAGTTGAGACGATTGCCTCAACAAGCATTTGGGAGCGTGCGCCCGAAGCAAAGCCTATCATTTCATGGCTCGTGGGGTAGTTCCCTTGAGGGTCAGCGCTGTCGTCCTCTGTCTTTCCCGCTGTCGTCTTCTGGATCTTCTTGTCCTTCCCTTGTCCGCCCTTTCCTGCAGGCCAGTGTCGCTCCTTCTCCTCCTCCTCATCCTCCTCCTCCTTCCTCCTTTTGATGCTGGGCAGACATCAAGGCCGAGCTTGTGGCGTTCTTCAAGCGAAAAAGAGGCGCCGACTTTGGCGGAGTGACCAGACAAGTTCTGCTGCGGAGGGGTGTAGTTGAAGTAGGGCAAAAAGAAGTGAAGATAGTAGTTGCCCGACAGGGCAGGAGTAACGCAGCCCGCGGCAGTACAACTTGGGGAGGAGGATACAAACATACATCATACGCATTACACCTGATCAAAGGGGAGGGCTCCTCCTGCTCCTCCTCTTCCTCCTCCTCCTCCTCCTCCACCTCCCCTCCCTCCACCTCCTCCTCCTCCTCCTCTTCCTCTTCCTCCTCCTCGTCGTCGTCGTCGTCCTCCTCCCCAGATCCCCTTCGCGTCGTGACAAAAATCACGACGGACTCTTTGTTCTGCTATGTTCTGCCTCTGGGGCCCTCGCATGGCCCCCATGGACCGCCACACAACGACCGAGGATGAGAAGCTGGTCCTGGCGAATGGGTCGAGACCTCTGGGAGTCGACGTTCTGCAACAATCATGGCGTCGGGGGCCTGGCTCCTCCTCCTCCTCCTCCTCCTCCTCCTCCTCCTCCTCGCTCTCTCCCCCTTCTCCTCCATCCCTTGGGAGTGTTTTTTGATTTAAAGGGCCTGGCAATGTCCCAGGTTATCGGGCGCGCCCGCCCCCCCCTCCCCCCCCGCGTGCGGGTCACATTGCAACCAGAACGGCCACTTTACAACAAGATGGGGCACTTTACAACCAGCATTGGTTTTCCCAGAAGGGCGCTTTACAACCAGGAAGGCGACTCTACAACCAGGCAACTGAACGCATATAAGCGACACATGTTCTGCAATTTCCGAAGTCTCCTTGGGCCCACGTAAAGGGAGATACTTCGCTCTCTGGAGCGTGTTGGTTGTAAAGCGACTCGTCTACAGCAAGATATGTGAAGTGGCGGATTCGTTATGGGATCCAACAGGAATCCGATTGGAACCCGATAGGCACCCTTTCCATTGGGATCCGATTGGCACCAGATGAGCCCCATTGTAAGCCAACAAGATTCCCCGTTACGGGGCCAACGGGTGTCTTATTGTAATCCGATAGGGATGCTTCCTCTCGAAAGCCTTTGGGGCCATTCCTAATGGAAACCGATTAGAACCCCCATTAGATTAGACTTCAATCGAGGAACCTTCCTATTGGAATGCTGCGGGGAACGCTTTGGTGTATTATATGGAAGCCCAAAGTGGAATAATTGTGGGTTCTTATTCGGATGCAGTGGCAACCGCTTCTCTTGGAATCCCATTGGGCCATATTGGCGCATACGACGGGCATCGCACTGGAATGCAGTCGGAATCATTGTTGGGACTCGTGCGGGCATGCCATCGGGATCCCGTCAGGGCGGGCCAATTGTAGCCCAACAAGAACCTGTCCACGTTGAGTCATACTGTAACCCGATTGGCGTCCTATTGTTATCGTTGTGGAGTCCAAAAGAAGCTATTGTACTACAGGCTGGTGGCAGGCCTGGACGGGTTTGAGCTTGTTTTGCGCACATGCCTTAAATCTACATGTTTTGTTCGAGTCTCATCACATTTGCTTCTGGCAGTAGAAGGACACTAAGTGTTCGCAGCAAAAGACGCAGAGGAACACGCGCGCCCCCAGGAACGCGGAACTGTGGCCAAACAGTCGTTGGTAAAGTTCTAGTCAACTAATGTGGATGTCTATTCGTTGTTTATCATACACATGTTTTGTCCTCGCGCTTCATCGTCTGGCAATATCAACACCGAATGTCTTCGCATGTGCGGAAGCACGCGTAACCAGGAACACTGACATGTGGCGGAGCAACCATTTGGAAGCTTGTAGCCAATGCGTGTTGATTTCAAAGTGTAAGTTTCGTGTACCGTATGTTTGTCCTCGCGCTTCATCGCCTTGCAGAAACAAAACCGCATGCTTCCGCAATTGCGGAAGCATGCGTACTCAGGAGGGCGGACATGTGGCCAAGAAATTGATGGTACAATAGGAGCCAACACGTGTGGATGCCAATGTGCGTATTGCCTCACAGACAGTTGTTGCCCTCGCGGCTCGTCGCCTGGCAATTGCAAGACCGTGTGTTTTCGCACTCGCAGAAGCGTGCGTACCCAGGAGGGCGAAAATCTGGCCAAGAAGTCGTTGGTCAAATTCAAGCCAGCACATGTGGATTTCAAGAGCCCCAGAAGCCAGTGCAGCTAAGCTGCTCAGGGGCCTCAGGAGCCTCTGCAGAGTGCTCGGGCGCACAGGCGCTCAGAAGCCTCTGCATGCGCTCAGAAGCTTTTTGCAGTGCGACCAGGCGCTCAGAAACCGCAGGCGCTTCTGCTGGGCGCTCAGGCGTTCAGAAGCCTCTGCAGAGCGCCCAGGCGCTCATACGCTTCTGCAGAATGCTCGGGAGCTCAGAAGCCTCTGCAGAGCGCTTAGGCGCCCAGAAGCTTCCCTAGAGCGCCCAGACGCGCAGATGTCAGAGCGCTCAGGCGCTCAGAAACCATTGCAGAGCGCCCAGGCGTTCAGAAGCTTCTGCTGAGCGCCCAGGCGCTCAGAAGCCCCTGCAGCGCGCCCAGGTGCTCAGAAGCTTCAGAAGCTTCAGAAGCTTCTGCAGGGCGTTCAGGCGGCCAGAAGCCGTTGCTGAGTGCTCTGCAGGCGCTCAGCAGCCTCTGCAGATCGCTCAGGCGCTCAGAAGCTTCTGCAGAGCGCTCACGCGCTTTTGGAGGCTGGTTGTAATGTGGCCGTGCTGATTGTAAAGAGCCCCGTCTGGGTTGTAAGGTGAGCTGCTCTGGTTATAAAGCAGCCGGTCGGTCTAAAGTGCTTTTCGGGTTGTGAATAGATCGAATCTCTTCCCCCCCGGGGATCACCGAGCCTCGTCGGTTGCACAGGGCCGAAAGGGCGGTGCAGTGCTGGTTCGCGCGGGCGCACACGTAAGGCTGGCCAGAATGAAAAGGTTAGGTTATCGGCCGGCACTCCCCCCCTGGATAATTTGGGCCAGTTCGGGGGAAAAATAACAAGAAAAGGTCTCCTTCGCCTCCCAGACCCAGCGTCATGACATTTCCCAGCCATCCTGAGTTGTCGGGTCTTCGGGTCTTCGTTTTGAGGAGACAGCGCCCCGCGTTCCTTCCTCCTTCCTTCCTCCTCCCCTCTCCTCTCCTCCTCCTCCCCATCCTTCCTCCCACCCGCGCAGCCCAGGGACAGCGCTTCTTGGCCCCGTGGGGAGCTCCACCGAAGGCCCCAACCAGTACTGTTCCATGCGTCTCCGAAGCCAGGCCATTGGGGAACTCCACAGAAGCTCCCCAATGGCGCAGTTCGCATGCGTCTCCCCCATCCAATACAGATTTTCGTGGCCCCAGGGTGAGCTCCACCGAATGTCCCAGTGGCGCAGTTCGCATGCGTCTCCCCCATCCAGCACGACATTTCGTAGCCCCAGAGGAAGCTCTACCTAATGTCCCAGTGGCGCAGTTCGCATCCGTCTCCTCCTCCCAGTACAGTTTTTCGAGGCCCCGTATGGAGCTCCACCGAAGGTCCCAGTGGCGCAGTTCGCATGCGTCTCCCACGCGCAGTACAGCGCTTCGTGGCCCCATACGGAGCCCCACCGAAGGCTCCAGTGGCGCAGTTCACATGCGCTTCCCGCATCCCATACAGTGTTTCGTGGCCCCATAGGAAGCTCCACCTAAGGACCCACTGGCGCAGTTCGCATGCGTCTCCCCCACACACTACAGCATTTCATAGCCCCAGAGGAACCTCCGACGAAGGTTCCAGTGGCGCAGTATGCGTCTCCCCCACCCACCACAGCGGTTCGTGGCCCCATATGGAGCTCCACCGAAGGTCCCAGCGTCGCAGTTCGCATGTGTGTCCCCCGCCCAGTACTGCGCTTCGTGGCCCCATAGAGAGCGCCACCGGAAGTCTTAGTGGCGCAGTTTGCATGCGTTTCCCTCACCCAGTACAACGTCTCGTGGCCCAGGGGGAGCTCCGCCTAAGATCCCAGTGTCGCAGTTCGCATGCGTCTTCTCTTTTTCAATACATATTTCGTAGCCCGAGAGGGCGCTCCACCGAAGGTTCCAATGGCGCAGTTCGCATGCGTCTCCCCCGCCCAGTACAGCGGTTCGTGACCCCATAGGGAGCCCCACCGAAGGCTCTAGTGGCACAGTTCGCATCCGTCTCCCGCGCCCGGCACAGAATTTCGTGGCCCCATAGGGAGCTTCACCGAAGGTCCCAGTGGCGCAGTTCGCATGCGCGCCCTTCATCCAGCACAGCGTTTCGTGGTTCCATATGCGAGCGCCACCGAAGGCTCCAGTGGCGCAGTTTGCATGCGCGCCCCTCATCCAGCACAGCGTTCCGTGGCTCCATATGGGAGCGCCACCGAAGGCTCCAGTGGCGCAGTTCGCATGCGTCTCCCCCACCCAGTACAGCGGTTCGTGGCCCCATAGGGAGCCCCACCGAAGGTCTCATTGCCGCAGTTCGCATGCGTCTCCCCCGCCCAGCACAGCATTCCGTGGCCCCATACGGAGCCCCACCGAAGGTTCCAGTGGCTCAGTATGCGTCTCTCCCATCCAGCACAGCGTATCGTGGCCCCATTGGGAGTGCCACCGAAGGTCCCACTGGCGCAGTTCGCATGCGCGTCCTGTATCCAGCACAGCGTTTCGTGGCCCCATACGGAGCCCCACCGAAGGCTCCAGTGGCGCAGTTCGCATGCGCTTCCCTCAGCCAATACAGTGTTTCGTGGCCCCATAGGAAGCTCCACCTAAGGACCCGGTGGCGCAGTTCGCATGCGTCTCCCCCACACACTACAGCATTTCACAGCCCCAGAGGAACCTCCAACGAAGGTTCCAGTGGCGCAGTATGCGTCTCCCCCACCCAGCACAGCGGTTCGTGGCCCCATATGGAGTTCCACCGAAGGTCCCAGCGTCGCAGTGCGCATGCGTCTTCCTCATCCAGTACAGCATTTCCCCATAGGGAGCTCCACCGAAGGCCCCAGTGGCGCAGTTCGCGTGCGTCTCCCCACCCAGTACATCGTTTCTTGGCCCCAAAGGGAGCGCCACCAACGGCGATACCCACAACTGCGGCACTCACAACGGCATATGGTTGGGTCCTTCGCCAGGCGGATTTGATGACGTCGAGGTCTGGACCCATTTCCTGGGACCGGCTTCTCATCCTGAGTCATTTTGATTGTCCCGAGGCCCAATGAGAGCTCCGAGAGGCCGAAGATGGCGAACAATGTCCCGTTTCGCTTCTTTCATGTTCGGGGGGGTCTGGGTCCCTCGTCCTTCACACCCCCACGCCGTGGACAAGAACGGGTCGGGAGGCGCTCAGCTACCGTATATCTTCAGATCCCAGAGAGAGAGAGAGAGAGAGAGAGAGAGAGAGAGAGAGAGAGCATGAGGGAACAAAAACACACAGACACTGTTAATCGTCGGCTCCTATGAAAACAATGGAGAACATGGGAAGCGAGGGGAAGACGAAACTTCAGAAAATATTGAAGATGGGGAATCCTGGGATTTGTGTCTATTTGTTTATCGCTTCGCTCATTCCGCCGGCCCTGGAACGCTATTTGGGGCCTCTTGGGGCCCTCTTGGGGGCCTCTTGGGGGCTTCTTGGGAGCGTCTTGGGGCTCCTTGGCGGCGTCTTGGGCTCCCCTGGGGCCTCTTAGGGGGCTCTTGGGGGCCCCTTGGGGCGGGAGGAGGGGTGGTCGATTGCAGCCACCCCCTTGAAGGCCACGATCCTCTTGAGGGGTGGCGAAAAATAGCCTCCCCCCTGGGGATCGCCCGGGACCCGGCCGGGGATCGGCCGGGGTAGTACTTTTTGTCCGGGGACCTCCAGGGGCCGCCCCGCGCGCGCGAACTAGAAATATTGTTAAGTAGTTGCCGGAGATCTTAGCACGCCTCTGGCCCGTTGGGCCGGCGAATTTGTGTGTCCCGGGGCCCCTTCAAGAGAGGCCCTCGTCGGGGCCCCCGCGGGCCGTCGAACGGCGGCGGCGGCTGGGGCCGAGAAGCGGGCGCCGTGGAAGGGCGGGGGGCGGCCAGGCCTGTACGGACGCTTTTTGGGGCTGTCCAGTTTTCGTGGGATGCTTGCCGCGGGAGCTCGCGTCCAGTTTCAGACCTGTCAGGCCCACCCGAGTCCCTTGGGTCCGAGTCTGATGTCTCCCCGGACTTTGGGGAAGCCCCGCGGAGCGCAGGCGTGGGGGTCTCCGCGCGAGTCCTCGCCATCCTCCCTGCCGCCCGCGGTCCGGTCCCGGGACGGGGCGAGGTCGTGTTCGCCCGAGACCCGATCTTCATCGACCACATCGCCGAGAAGGATCGCCGCCACGCAGCTGGGAAAAAGAGGAGGAGGGAGGGGAGAGGGGAGGAAGGGGGACGGACGCAAAGATGATTATTGATGATGATGATGATGGTGATGATGATGATGATGATGATGATGATGATGATGATGATGATGATGATGATGATGATGATGATGTTCATGTTGTTGTTGGCGATGATGATGATGATGATGATGATGATGATGATGATGATGATGATGATGATGATGATGACGATGCTGATGATGATGATGATGATGATGATGTTGACGATGATGAGGAAGAGGATGACGATGCTGGTGACGATGACGATGACGATGACAATACTGCTGATGATGACAATGATCTTGGTGATGTTGATGTTAATGCTGATGATGATGCTGATTATGCTGATGGTGATGGTGATGGTGATGATGCCGATGACGATGGTTACGATGAAGATGCTGACGGTGATGATGATGGGGTGATGATGATGGTAATGACGATGGCGATTATGATGGTGATTACGATGCTGATACTGATGATTGATATGCTGATGCTGGCCACGGCCATGATGCGGATGCTGCTTATGTTGATGCTGATGTTGATGCTGATGATTATGGTGATGATTATGAAGATGATGATGATAATGATGATGATACTGATGATGCTGATGATGATGCTGATTGTGTTGATGATGATGATCATGGTGATGCTGATGCTGATGATGATGATAATGATGCTGATACTGATCATGGTGATGCTGATGCTGCTGATGATGATGATGATGATAATGATGATGACTGTTACGACTATGACGAGTCTCGGATGACGATAATGATGCTGATGCAGGTGGGGGATCGTGCGATTCATGAAGATGGTGATGAACCCATTATAATCATGGCGCTGATAACAGTACTAGTTAGGCGTACGATTATGATTGCGATCATGAGGGTGATGGGGATGCTGACAATGATGATGATGCTGATGATGATGATGATGATAATGATGATGCTGATGACGATGATGATGATGCTGCTGATGATGATGATGATGCTGATTATGATGATGATGATGATGATGCTGATGATGATGATGATGCTGCTGATGATGATGATCAGACTGATGATGCTGATGATGATGCTGATGATGAGGAGAAGGAGGAGGAGGAGGAGGAGGAGGAGGAGGGGGATGAGGATCAGAGTGAGGCAGTCCGGGCAGACAACGATTGAAGCATGTTGGCGGAACTTTCGATGATGGTCCTGAAAGTGAAAGGCGAAGTCAGAGAGCAGGAGGGATGGAGGAAGGAGGTTTTCTACGAGAGGCAGGAGGATGGAGGAGGGAGGGAGGCAGGAGGAGGGAGGGCGGAGGGAGGGAGGGAGGAGGAGGGAGGGGGGATGGAGGGGGGAGGGCGGACAGAGGGGGGGGAGGAAGGAGGGAGGAGGAAGAGAGGGAGGGGGGAAGGGGGGAGGAGGGAAAATGGAGGAGGGAGGAGGGAGGAGGGATGGGGGAGGAGGGAGGAGGGAGGGAGGGAGGAAGAAGGAAGGAGGGAGGAGGGAGTGGGGGGGGGAGGAGGGAGGTAGGGAGGAGGGAGGAGGGAGGAGGGAGAGAGGGAGAGAGGGATTGGGGAGGAGGGAGGGAGGAGGGAGGGAGTGTGGGAGGGGGAAAGATGGAGGGAGGGAGGAGGGAGGAAGGGAGGAGGGAGGGAGGAGGGAGGATGGGAGGGGGGAGGCGTATGGTCGTCGCTCCGATTTAGCGTCGGTTAGTTTCGGTTAGCATCGACTAGCGTCGACTAGCGTCGACTAGCGTCGATTAGCGTCGGTTAGCGTCGGTTAGCGTCGAGTAGCGTCGACCAGCGTCGATTAGCGTCGATTGGCGTCTGGTAGTCGTTGCGATAGCGCCGAGCAAGCGTCCGTTAGCGTCGTTTCGCGTCGATCCGCGTCGTCTCGCGGGGGCCAACAAAAGATGGCATGGGAGGCCCCCACGAGCTGCCGCAGAAGACGTGGGTTCTGCCAGATCCTCCGCTGCCTTTGGCTCGAGGCCATCTCGCGGGATCCCGCCTCAGCTCAGTTGCCTCGATACAGTCGGGGCCCTGAAGAAGGAACCCGTTTCGTTAGGGAGGGGCTCCGTGTTCCTTAATTGTTTCGCAGTTTGCCTTGGATTTTCTTTAGGTTTTTGATACGAAATCGAAGTCTTATGGGAAATAGTGGCCTCGTTCCTTATTTAGGGTTCCTTAGGTCAACGCCTCGACTGTACGCCCATTCCGAAACGCGACACGTACCGCGCTTAAAACGACTGTGTCGATACGTTGCATGTTGGCCCAGCGTATTGGCCTGTGTTGCGGCGATCGTATCGCTAGGGGGCCACATGCGAACCCCACCCCTACCCCCCACGATTTCTGAGGGGGAGGGTGGGGTTCGCTTCGTTCGGGAGCTACCGAATGGAATGAACCCCACCCTCCCCCTTAGAAATCGTGGGGGGTAGGGGTAGGGTTCGCATTTGACCCCTAATCGCGTCGTACCTACGTGTTCAGTCTGCGTGCTGAGCTCCGTATCGAAACGCCACGCGCTGCGTGTTGCGGATTGGGGGCAGCCAAGCTCATCGGGCCTCCCCGCTCTCACGGAGGCGTCCCGCGCGCTGCGGTTGGCTCCCCGCGCGCCCTCCGGCGCCCGCTCCGCCGCCCCCCTCAGGAGGAGGAGGAGGAGGAGGACCAAGGAGGAGGACCAAGGAGGAGGACCAAGGAGGAGGAGGAGGAGGAGGAGGAGGAGGAGGATCGAGGATCGAGGATCGAGGATCGAGGAGGAGAAGGAGTAGGAGTAGGAGAGCGTGACGCTCCCATGCCACAAATCCATGGACGTCAGAGGGTCTCAGGGTTGGGTTTCTTGTGGAAGGTTTCTTGCGGTCGGGCCCCTACGGTAGGGTCCAATGAATTGCTTCTGCTCCCCGAGGCGCGAGCCGTGGGAGGGGTGTGCCAAAATTGATTGGTTCGTTGGTCGGTCGGTCGGTCGGTCGGCTGGTTGGTCGGTCGGCTGGTTGGTCGGCTGGTTAGTTGGTTGGTTGGTTGGTTGGTTGGCGGGTTGGCTGACGGGTCGGCTGCGAGGCTCGCGCCCCGCGGCCCAGAACGCCGACGAGGAGGAGGAGGAGGAGGAGGAGGAGGAGGAGGAGGAGGAGGAGGAGGAGGAGGAGGAGGAGGAGGTGTGTCTTCTGTCAGGTCCTGGCTGTTTTTGGCTGTGCGGTTCAGGGCTGCGGCAGGGCGAGCGAGCCCTCGGCTGGCTTATGCGGGGGAGAGCCTCCTCTTTCTCGCATCGGCCTCCGAGATCCGTTTCCGGACCCCTCCTCCTCCTCCACCTCCTCCCTCCTCCTCCTCCTCCTCCTCCTCCTCAGTTACGTTTGGGGGAGACAGCAGCTCGCCCCGGGCAATGGGTCTAGAGCTCTGTCGCGGACATGAGACAAACAAGCACCTCTTGGGACGCCCGGGTCGCAATCTCGGGCTGCATATCGGCCCTGCCGAGCAGGTCGGAATTTCCTGTGGCCTAGTATTGAAACAATGAAGACATCGGATGTCTGGGGATCGTGATGGTAAGGCTTCGGGCTGCGCGCAGACAGCTTCCAGGTAGTCGCGGCTGGCCTCAGCAGGCCCCCCGAGTAGCCCCAGGTGGCCTCAACAGACCCCCCGAGCAGGCCGAGGCGGTCTCAACACCCCAACCTTGGGGCACGGAGCCCATGGGGCACCGCCGGAGGCGGCGCCAGAGGGCCAAAACGTCGGCGCGCGTGGTGTCTCTTGCTGCCTCCATTTCTCTTTCCCTCCTCTCTCCCCTCCCCCTCCTCCTCCTCCTCGTCCTCCTCCTCCTCGTCCTCGTTCTTCTCCTCCTCCTCCTCCTCCTCGTTCTCCTCCTCCACCTCCTCCTTTTATCCCGCCGAGGGGGAAGAGGCTGACGACGACGACGACGACGAACACCACCGCCACCACCACTCAGGCGATCGCAAACATGGATCAAGGTGGCGTGGATTAGCGACGGGTCCCGCTTGCATGGGAAATCGCGGATTTCCGCCGCCGGACGAGGCGGCGCCGGACGCATTTTGGGGAGGGCACATCCCCCGATCCATGGATTTGGCGACCGCGCGCCAAATCCATGGATCGCTAATCCATGGTTGCGCGCCCCCGAACCACCACCACCATCACCACCACCACCACCACCACCACCACCACCACCACCACCACCACCACCACCACCACCACCACGACGACGACGACGACGACGACGACGACGACGACGACGACGACGACGACGACGACGACGACGACGATTACGACGACGACGCCGCGGGTTCCCCAGGAGGGCGTGTGCTACGTGTGCGAGGAGACCATCTACTATGGGGAGAGGCGGGCCCTGCACTGCGCCGCCGCGCATGAGGAGGAGGAGAAGGATGAGGAGGAGGAGGAGGAGGAGGAGGAGGAGGAGGAGGAGGAGGAAGGAGGAGGAGGAGGAGGAGGAGGATGAGGAGGAGGTGTAGGAGGAAGAGAAGGAGGAGGAGGAGGAGGAGGAGGAGGAGGAGGAGGAGGAGGAGGAGAGGAGGAGTGAGGTGGAGGAGGTGGAGGAGGGAGGAGGAGGAGGATGAGGAGGAGGAGGAAGAGAAGGAGAAGGAGAAGGAGGAGGAGCAGGAGGAGGATGAGGAGGAGGGGGCGGAGGAGGGGAGGAGGAGGAGGAGGAGGAGGAGGAGGAGGAGGAGGATGAGGAGGAGGAGGAGGAGGAGAGGAGGAGGAGAGGAGGAGGAGGAGGAGAGGCAGAGGAGGTGGACGGACATGAGGTGGACTTGGAGGAAAGTGCAATTTGGAGATCGAGGGCGATGATGATGATGATGATGATGATGATGATGATGATGATGATGATGATGATGATGATGATGATGGATGATGAGGATGATGATGATGATGATGCTGCTGCTGATGCTGATGCTGATGCTGATGATGATGATGGTGATGCTGATGATGATGCTGATGATGCTGATGATGCTGATGAGGATGATGAGGATGAGGATGCGGATGAGGAGGAGAGGAGGAGGAGGAGGAGGAGGAGGAGGAGTTGGAGGAGGAGGAGGCTGAGGAGGAGGAGGAGGAGGAGGACGAGGAGGTGGAGGAGGAGCAGGAGGAGGAGGAGGAGGTCATCTTCGAACATCTGAGGCCCTCAAAGCGCCATGTTGGGCCATCTTTGAAGCCCGAACCCTTCGCACAGGGGTGTGAGGGGGAGGATACCCGCTCTCCGGCGGGAAGAGGGTTTCTGGAAGAGGAAACACATCTTTCGACCAGCTACGCTCAGCGGGCTGCTGGGATGAAGTTGTGTTGCCTTCTAGCTGGCCTCCTTACGAACCTCAAAGGGGCGCACTGCGCGAATCCAGTCGGGAGGCAGACGCCTCGAGCAACGACAGGGGCTGGGAGGGGCACGGGAGGGTCTCGGCCGCCTCCCAAACACGGCAGCCAGGGACCAGGACCCGACAAGCCGTGCACGACCAGTTTCCCTGGACGGGCGTGCAGGAGTGCTGGCACGCAGGCCGCGCCTAGGCTTCGAAGTTGTCAGAGCTATGGAGTCCACCCAGGAGTCCACCCACAGGGTGCTGATCACTGCCCACGTCGGCTGACCCACCCAGCGCACGAGGCGCCCACGAGGCGCCTACAGCTGGGCGCCAGGCGAAGCCTCGGCTGACCCACCCAGCGTGCGAGGCGCCCACGAGGCGCCCACGATGCGCCCATGGGCGGGCACCAGGCAAAGCCTCGGCTGACCCATCCAAGCCTGTAAGGAACAGAAGTAACAGACCCTGAGTGCAAGCACTGGCTGGGGAAATTTGACATCGATGGGCCCACGCCAGAAGGGTACCCACAGCCATCACATCCCCTGATCATTCAGCAGATGCCCCAATCGATGCCCACGATTTGCGCAAGCATTGCTGTGACAAGTGTGAGGCATGTGCCGAAGAGCGCGACCCGCATAACAATCTGCAATAACGGAACGGCCAGCTTCAATCGTAGCATGCTCTGTGCCATTCGTGGTGGGGGAAGTCGGCTTGTCTATACTGACCTTCGTCCCGTCCCGCCACCGTTCGTGGGTCGTGGATGCATCTCGGAGGTCTGGATGCATGCTGAAGGCGTCTTTGGGGCCTCCCGGCGGCATCTCGGGGGCCGCCTTCTGGCCTCTTGGGGGCCTGCGGACGGCCTCTGGGGTCACCTGGCGGCATCTCGGGGGCCGCCTTCTGGCCTCTTGGGGGCCTGCGGACGGCCTCTGGGGTCACCTTTAGGGCGGAGGGCCTGAGATGTCGGTTCGTGCTCCGCCCGTTTGGACCTCTCTTGACGCCCTCTTGGGACCATCTCGGGCTATCTCGGGGTTCTCTTGGGCCGACTTGTGGCTTTCTTCGGTTTTTGGGCCCCCGCAGGACGTTGTCAGGCCGTCTTGGGGCTGAATTGGGAGCCTGGTGGGACGTCTTGGCGCGTCGGAAGCCCGACAAGGCGAGAAAGCTAAAAGCTAGTCGAAAACGCATGGCAAATCAATCGTTGGGCCTCTTGGAGCCTTCTTGGAGCCTTCTTGGGGCGCAGTGGGGGTCTCGGGCCGTCTTGGGTTCATCGCGGTCTGTCTTCAGGCCGCTTCGGGCCGCACCGTCGCTCGCCAGGACCGTCTTGGGCGCTCCTGGAGGGGGGGACTATTGGCAGATTCGTCGGGCCGCTCCGGGCGGGTGCACCCAGGCGACCGCAGGCATGGATGAAGGGGGGCGTGGATCAGCGACGGGCCCCGCCGCCCTGGGCAAAATCTCGGGCCTCCGCCGCCGAGCGAGGCGGCGCCGGCCGCATCTTGGGCAGGGCACCTCCCCCGCTCCCTGGATGTGGCGACCGCGCGCCAAATCCATGGATCGCTGGTCCATGTCTGCGCGCCCCCGAACCACCACCACCACCACCACCACCACCACGACGACGACGACGACGACGACGACGACGACGACGACGACGACGACTATTACACCACCACCACCACGACGACGACGACGACGACGACGACGACGACGACGACGACGATGACGACGACGACGACGACGACGACGACGACGACGACGACGACGACGACGACGACGACGCCAATCCATGTTTGCGCACCCCCGAACCACCGCCCCGGCCGACGCGGCACACCCCGGGGAGCACCTGGGGGCGCGCGGGCGTGGCAGGAAGAGCGTGGCCCTGGCCCCGCAGCGCGCGACCAGCCGCCAGTCCCGCGCACCGGGCGTGAGCCCTGGGGGCACTCCACGTTGGTCGAAGAGTGCGACCCGCAGAACTCATCGGAGGTGGATAGACCTCCTACCCTGACACGTCGATGAAGGAACTGTCCGTTTTCGGTTCGCGAGAGGGCGTCGCGGCCGTCACTTTTGCGGGTCCAGGTCCGTCGGTTTCGGTCCCAGGCCGTTTTCCCTAAGGGGAGGTTTACTAAGGGGAGGTTTGCCCACCGCCGAACTCACACTTTTTACAAGCGCAGGAGGAGCCCCGTGGCAAGAGTCAGGAAAGGGGGGAGCAGGGGGAGGGAGAAGAGGAAAGGAGAGCAGCAGCAGCAGCAGCAGCAGCAGCAGCAGCAGCAGCAGCAGCAGCAGCAGCAGCAGCAGCAGCAGCAGCAGCAGCAGCAGCAGCAGCAGCAGCAAGCAGTCCAGGCGCGGCCAGGCCAGCCCCTCAGCGCGCCCCGGCTTTGCGGGGCGCGCGCGCCCTCCGCGCGGCCCGCTCTCGTCACGGCATGCTCCGTGCCAGGCGGGCCGCAGCGAGGACGCTTGGCCAGGGTGTTCCCGTGCTGGCTGGGGACACCGGCAAGCCGCGCAGCGGAAACGCTGGACGTCTTGGCCCCAGGCTAGCTCGTAGGGCACTCCCCGATGAGGGAGGGCGAGGGAGAGGGAGGAAGAAAGAGGGGGGGAGAAGTGGGAGGACGAGTTCGGGGAAGTTCTTCCAACCTGAGTGCGTATGGCCCGAGCGGCCGAAGGCCTTGCTGGCCATGTGGGCCGTGGGGGCTAAAGCGATTTGTTTATGTTCACTGGTCACGCCTCTCGCGCGGCAAACTTGCTGACCTTGTGGGCCATAGGGTCTTAACCGATCTTTTTCTGTTCACTGGTCACGCTTCTCGCGCGGCAAAAGACGACCTCCGCCTCCCCCCATCTTGCTCCTCAACCCTCCTCTTGCTGTTGCTCCTCCTCCTACTTCTTCCCCTCCTCCTCCTCCGTCTCCCCTCCTCACTCCTCATCTGCCCCTCCTCCCCTAGACCTCCTCCTCCTCCTCCCTCTCCCCATCCTCCCTCCTCCTCCTCCCTTCCCCCTCCTCCCACCTCCTCCCGCTGATCTTTCTCGTCTGTGTCTCCCATCCCCTATCCCATTTCTTTTTTTAGGCGATCTCCTCCCAGTCGCACCCCCCAGGACGTGTTGGGAGGGCGTGCACGGCGTTCCGCCGGAAGGTTCCTCGGCTCGCAGTTGTCACACGGATTCGGAGGGGGGGGCGTGTTCAGAACGGTTCTCGATGCAGTGCCGCTCATATTCGTCCTCAGAGTCTCCAGCAGTTAATTACCATGATGGAGCACACGCCGTTTCCAAGAGGGTGTTCTCGCCTCGGTGCCGCGAGCATTCGCTTTACACTGGTGGAGGAGTCAAGCGCTTGATGCACGGGCCGTTTGCAAAGTCGAGCTCTCGCTTCTTCGCCGCGCGCATTCGCCTTGTGCAGAGTCGCTGGCGCAGAGGACCGCGCAGCCGCTGACATCAGTCCCAGCAATCGCAGCAGGCAGCCGCAGTAGCAGCAGTGCGCCTCAGGGCGTGTTCCCAGATCGCCGCTTGCACAGCCGCCGCCTCAAGGGAGGGGCCATCAGCAGCTATGGTGCTCATCGTTGTCTAGCAAAGGGAGGCCCAGGGGATAGCTAAACAAAGGGTCACGTCGTCGGGGGTCGTGGCCGTGGTTGTGGTCGCCGATGAGGAACGTCGCCATGCCGCCGGGGCCGGCGCAAACGTCGCCGGCAATGCGCACTACCCCGCCGCTGCTGCCCGGGCCGCTGCCGTGGTAGAGACGGTCGGCCTGGATGGTGCCGTGGTGGTGGTGGTGGTCGGTGTGGTGGGAGCTGTGGGCCTTACTGGCTTGCGGCGCTGAGCACCACCGCCCCTCCCGTGTTCTCCCTCCCTTTTTCCCCCCATCCTCCCACCCTCTGCGCCGTCTCCCTTCCCCGCCATCGGCGACGCGGAGGCTCGGGTCCGGCGAGCCGCGGAAGGGCGAGGAGGTGTTCTGGGTGTGCGGCAGGTGCCTGGAGGACCGCCCTCCGCTGGGGAGGGGGGCCCCAGAACTTCGCGCCCCTCCCTGCCCATCCCGCCCTCCCTCCTCCCTCCTCCGTTTCCTCCTCCTCCTCCTCCTCCTCCCTCCTCGTCCTCCTTCCTCCCTCATCCTCCACAATCGCACAACATGAATACTACTCTCCTCTCTCCCTTGGTGACGTCCGGGAAATGTCTGGCCCCCTCCGCGTACGGGTTTCTTACACACACGATTCCCTGGATTTTTTTTTTTTTTTTTGTTCTCTCTCTCTCTCTCTTTCTCTCTCTCTCTCTCTCTCTCTCTTTTTTTTTTCTCTCTCTCTCTCTCTCTCTCTATCTATATATAACAGCTGTTCTCACTGAACCATTGGCTTCGTTTTCGGTCTACCGCTCGTTCCGAATCGTGTTCCCGCTGCAGCGCTGGCCTCATTCCCTCGCTTCAGCTCGTTCCGAATCGTGCTCCCGCTGCAGCGCTAGCCTTCCTTCCAAATATGCCCCGTAATCTAGAAAATGCCCGCCGAAAAAACATCGGAAGTGATTACACATTCGGTGTCGGTTCGTTGATTTTTGGGGTCGCAGAAGCCACCCGCACTTTGGGGCGTCGCCACGCCATGCTATGTCAGGCTACGCGTATTCCGAATCGTGCTCCCGCTGCAGCGTTGGCCGTATTTCCGCGCTTCCGCTCGTTCCGAATCGAGCTCCCGCTGCAGCGCTGGCGTCATTATTTCCAGCACTATGCCACGACATGGCTCTCGGTCCTGCCAAATAGGCCCAAAAATGTCGAACATGTTCTTCGAAACAACCATCGGAAATGATTGCACGTTCGGTGTCGATTCGTTGTTTTTTGGGTTACAGACGTTCCCCTCTTCACTTTGGGGCGTCGCCACGCCATGCTATGTCAGGCTACGCGTTGATATTCAACACCATGCTATGCCACGCTATTCTATGCCCTGCTACGACATCCGACTGTGCGAATAGAGAGGAGATCTACGCCATGATAGGGGATTGAAGGGAGGGGTAGGACGGCAGATATGGCGCGAGCGCACCTAGCTTGTCTTCCCTCCTACTCCTTCTCCTCCTCATTCCTCCTGCCTCGTCCTCCTTCCTCCTCCTCCTTTAAAATCCCTCCTTCGTCTTCCCTCTCCTACTTCTTCCTTCTCCTTCTCCTCCTCCTCCTTCTTATTATTATTATTGTTATTCTTATGTTGAGCAAGCCTTATATCAAACCGTCCTCCTCCTCCTCCTCCTCCTCCTCCTTCTCCTCCTCCTCCTTCTCCTTCTCCGTCTCCTTCTCCTTCTACCCCTCCTCCTGCTCCTCCTTCTTCTCCTTTTCCTCCGTCCTTTCGAGCGGCGCTCCCCTGAACTCAGAAGCGAATTTTTGGCGCTGGAGGTGCTCCTCCCGTGCCTGGGTCAGGGGCAGTCGCTCGCAAAGCACGTGGAGTCTAACCTGGATTTTTGTTTGTCGGACGTGGCGGCTGACTGCGCTTAGTGGTGCCCCCGCAGTTTTACGCCAGGGCATTCCTCCTCCTCATCCCACTTTGGCATCCACAGCACCTCCTCACCATCCCCCCCCCTCCCCCCCGTGCGCACGGAGGGGAGGAGGGGAACGTCGAGGACGAAGGGGGGGACACGCAGGAGGAGATGGGAGGAGGACAAGCTTTGTGCGCTCGCGTACCCCTCCCTCCCACCCCTTACCATGGCGTCGATACCCTCTCTATTCGCACAGTCGGATCTCGAGCAGGGCAATGATCGCGTCAGGGTACGCGCTGCATGGTAGAGCACTGCATGGCATGGCGTAGAAGAGCACGGCAGAGCGTAGCATGCCATAGCATGGCGTGGCATTGCGCGGTGAAGCATTGCATCACAAAGCATTGCAACGCGAAGACTGGCATCACACAGCGGCGCAGAACACACTACCGCACAGCATGGCATGGCATGGCACCATATTCTTTGGAGGGTAAATGGATCGTCTTCGAGAGATCTGGGCCGGTGTGGAGGCGTGGCTCCACGTCTAGCTCCTTGGGCTCCCCGAAAAGCTCCACACAAGGCAGGGCTGATGGAGAGCACCCGCTGGCTCTGCTTTCAACATCGCCTTCTCAATGCAGAAACGGGGCTCCCATTTGATACTCCCTGAGAGCAACGACGCCCCAAAGTGGGGGGCTTCTGCGGCCCAAAAAACCAATGAATCGACACCGAACGTGTAGCCACTTCCGATGGTTTCTTCGGAGGGCATTTTCTAGATTACGGGGCCTATTTGGAAGGAAGGCTAGCGCTGCAGCGGGAAAACGATTCGGAACGAGCGGAAGCGCGGAAATGAGGCCAGCGCTGCAGCGGCAGCACGATTCGCAACGAGCGGAAGCCCGAAAGTGAGGCCAGCGCTTCAGAGGAAGCAGCATTTTGAAAAACACCCAGCGAAAACCCGCTTCCCAGGAATCTCGTGTGTAAAAGAACAGCACGCGGAGGGGGGCCTGATATCTTCCCGACGTCATCAGGGGAGAGGAGGGTAGTATTTACATTGTGTAATTGTGGAGGAGCGGGGAAGAAGCCTCTTCCTCCTCCTCCTCCTCCTCGTCCTTCTCTCTTCCGTCCTCCCGTCTCCCGCCTTCCTTGTATCCCTGCTGTTCCCCCGCCCTCCGCTCCTCCTTCCTCTTTCCTTCTCCTCCGTCCTCCCCCTTCTCCGTCCCCCCCCCCTCCGATCTCACACGCCCGCTGCAGTCTAAACAGTTTCCCCCACGCCGACAGCGACGACGACGACGACGACGACGACGGCGGCGACGACGACGACGACGACGACGACGACGTCGGCGACGGCGACGGCGATGGCGACGGCGACGCCGACCGCTGCAGCGGCGACGGCGACGGCGACCGCGACGGCCGGCGACGGCGGCGAGACCCCGAGGACGAGGGGATCCCGCTGTCTGCCGGGCAGCTCGCGAGGGCCCGCCCCCAGGACCTCTGCGGCAGACGCCGCCGTTCGCCGCCGTCGGCCGTTGTCGTCGTCGTCGTCGTCGTCGTCGTCGTCGTCGTCGTCGTCGTCGTCGTAGACGTCGTCCTCGTCGTCGACGGTCGTTCGGTGTCGTCCGTCGTGTTTCGTCGTCTGCTGTCGGTCGCTGGGCGTCGTCGTCGATGGTCGGTTGGCGTCGTAGGGTGTAGGGTGTCGTCGGTTGTCGGGTGCCGTCGGTTGTCGGGTGTCGGCTATCGTCGGTGGTCGGTTGTCCGCTGCCAGTCGTTGGGTGTCGTCGTCGGTTGTCGAAGTCGGCTGTCGTCATCGGCTTTCGGTCGTCGGTGTTGTGGTCGTCGTCGGCGTCGTCGTCGTCGACGTCGTCGTTACCGTCGTCATCTGCGCCAGGAGTCTGGCAAGCAGGGGTAGCTTACAGTCACTGGGCATGCTAAGTTACCCTGACGTTGCCCTGGAAACCATGCGGAAGCTGGGCGCGAGGGCTGTCAATCGCTTGTGCCCTCAGATCGGCCACACCATCGTATCCCTAGTGTTGACAGGAACCCTGCAAACACATGATAAGGACACACAGCCCTAACTGCAGTTCTCTGGCATTGCACCCTCTAGGTAGGGACTCCGAGAGCGTTGACAGTATCGGAACCCTGGAGGTTGGCCCGAGCCCAGGTCTACTTCGAGTCGCTGATAACGCACGGGACAGGGTTGAGCAGAGGAGTAGGCAGACCCCCCCAAAAGAAGAGGATGCACAAGGACGAGGGGGCAGTTTTTTGGATTACGAACCTGATTAATATGTAAGTACGTCGGCAGAAGCCAGCAGCCCAGTCACCGTGCCTGTGCAACAGCGTTGCAGGAAGGAGACCGAGTGTATGAACCGCAGGTCGTGAACTCGACCTCGTCTTCGTCCGCGCGGTAGGAAGGAGGTCGATTCACACCCCGCGGCAATTCAGCGAATGGTCTGAATTGGGGAGGGTCGTGATCTCAACATCGTCTTCGTCCGCGCGGTAGGGAGGAGGAGGATGAGGAGGAAGAAACGGAGGAGGAGGAGGAGGAGGAGGAGGAGGAAGAGGATGAGGAGGATGCGGAGGAGGAGAGGGAGAAAATGAGGACGACGAGGTGAACGCTTCTTGGGGCCCTCTTGGGACCGCCTGGGGGCCTCTGGGAGCTTCCTGGAAGGTCTCTTGGGGGTCTCTGGCAGGCCTCCTGGGGCCTCTTGGGGGCCTCTTGGGGCTTGGGCCGTCTTCGGGAGGCGATTGGCCCGTCTGTCGCCTTCGGAGGCCGTCTGGGGGGCCTCTTTGGGCCGTCTTGGTACCCTCTTGGAGCACTTTAGGGCAGTATTGGGGCCCTCTTCGGAGCCTCTTGGGCGATCTTGGCGTACCCTTGGGCCGACTTGGGGCCCTCCTGGGGGGCCTCATGGGCTGTTTTGGAGCTATCTTGGAGGAATCGTGGACCTTCTTGAGAGGTCGGAAGGCCACCTGAGCGAGAACCTCAACATCTTTCAAACAGGATCGGAAAAGAAGTAGTTGTTGCTTCCTCCGGCTCTCTTGGAGGGCCCTTTGGAGCCCGCTTAGCCTGTCTTGGGAGCCTCTAACGCGGTTTTGAGTCCGTCTTGGGAGCCTCGTGAGCCGTCTGAGGCCATCCTGAGCCTTTTTGGTGCCTCTTTCTTCTCTCCTGAGTCCACCTCCTTCCTCTCTCTTCTCTCCTGAGTCCGCCTCCCTCCTCCGCCGTCCTCTCTCATTCTCCCTGGCGGCCGTCCTTCCCTCCCCTCCTGCTTCCTCGTCTTCCCTCCTCGACCGTTCTCCCTCCTCCTCCCTGGCAAATGCCGCTCAACCTGGCGGCCCCCTCCCCTCTCCTTCCTCCTCCTCCTCGCCGCAGCCCCTTCGCTCGCTTCCCCCCTCCTCCCTTCTCCCTCCTCTGCGTCCTCCCTCCAGGCGGCCGTCCTGTTCCCTACGTCGGGCTGGTCGTAGGTTTCTGGTTGGGCAGCCATCCGAAGTGCAAAACGAACGGCTCGCTCAAGACATCCTCATCATCTGTCAGCCAACGGCCGAGTGCTCTACTCCGTTGCGATTTCCCCTTGGGGGGCTGAAGCCAGCGCCTCGCTCGAGACAGGCTCACAAGCTGCTCCTTGGCGTCTCCTCCTTGGGATGTTGAAACCAACGAGTCGCTCGGGACATCCTCACAATATGCTGCCTGGCGGCTCCCACTTGAGGTGCCGAAGCCGGCGCCTGGCTCACGACATCCTTACAATCTGATCGAGTTCCGAACACGGAGAAGTAGGCGTGTCACAGCAGGCACACATCCTGAAGCACTCCAGCAGTCTAGGCGCGAACGGGCCCTGGCGGCTCGCCTGACATCTCACAATGTGTAAGGAATGCAGAGGAGCAGGCACCCAGCTTGAGACAATCCCCACAATCTGCCATGACAGCCCTGGAAGCAGAGGAGAGGTGTGCGTAGTTTCAGGGAGGTGTAACTCACCACAGGAGGCCCGTGACCAAAGTTCGCAAACTCCCTGGTCATTCCGATTGGCAGTTTGCGGTGCCAGCATCCGAACAGAACCTGAACGTGCGCGAAACGCGCATGAATCAAGCTTGCCACGGCTGAGAGCCCTGAAGCGGGGATGGTGCTTCTATCTTGCTTCATCCGATCCAACCGAGGCATTCCACCGCGCAAGGTCAAGAGCTCCAACGTGTCCTCCTCCCCCTCCTGCTCTGCCCGTCCTATTGCCCCCCCTCCTCCGCCTCCTTCTCGATGAAGGGGAGAACGACGACGAGGACGACGAGGAGGTGGAGTGGGAGGTTGAGCGGGATTCTTCCGCTGAGCAGTCTTTGCCTTGCGCTGACGTCGCAGACCTCTCGTTGTGATGAAGTCGGCAGCT